AAATTTTCTAGCTTCCTAGCTGCCTAAATCTGTTTTGATGCAAAAGTAGCTGTTTTTTATTGTATGAAAATGCATTACAAAGACAAAAAACCTGTTTTCATTTAATTGCATCATTCTCAGTGCTTTATGGTTGTAGAGTTGTCTAGTTTTGCTCTGAATCAAATGTAATGTTTTGATTAATCTCCGAGCCGGTTGGTTTAGTTCAAGGCTTAGAACCAAGGTCGCTAAAAAAGTTGGCTGTCTTTAGTGCGCTCTATTTAACTGTAGCTCCCTGGCCATTTACAGATTATTTTTACCGAACAGTTTACTTGAGCCACTTATTGTTACAGCGAGTGAAATATTGCCAAGATTTTCCCAATGTAAGGTCCTGTTCAGAGTTCTCCATGGAAAAATTTGGAAGTGAAACATTTTGTTTTCGGTCAGGAAACAGAAGGGGTGTGAAGTGTCTTGAGGGAGGCGATGACAGAAATGGGCAGTTTTGTTTGGACTTTGTATGCTTTCTGTAGTCTCCCATGGCCTATTATCCACTTGGAAGAACAAGTTTTAGTCTATTGAAGGGTGAGAGAGTTCCTCTCAAAGTCATCCCTATAAAGGATAATCTAATTTAGTGAAAAATGTCAAACTGGTGCAGCATCTGGTAGGGGGATCTTTAATGAGAGGGGCTCTGTTGCATTTCTGCCCTCTGTGAAATTTTGTCCTCCATTTTAGTTTCATTAGAGCGGCGGCCCACGGTTGCTCAATGACTGTTTAGCATTCAGCACAGAATCACATCTTCCTCTTATCAGTCCGAGAGCGAGGAGCAGTCATCCTTCAAACTCCCATCACAGTCCTTCTCCCAAATTCCAGCGGTCTGAGAGCCAGAGGTCAGGCAGCATGCTCAAAATCTGGATGCTAGTTCCGGTTTAATGCTTAACGTGTATTCCTAAATTAAGGGAGCAGAAAGGTGGTGCTTTATCTGTTAATTTGCAGCACATTTGCGTGGCATAATGAGATATGTTTGTCATATTTTGGCAGTGGAATATCTCTCCCCTCAGTTGCTCGCTCTGCATGTGCCTCTTCTTGTACTAAAAATAGCCCGTTCCAGCCAAGGAAAGGAAGGTGCCTTTGTGCAGGACTGTGTTACCGCAGCTCTTCAAAGCGGGTAGTTCAGTGTGACGGTGAGAACTGGTTGCGAGAGGATTTAATATGACGAGAGCAGGCGTTAGTGCGGAGGGCTTGACTGCAACAGATCGCTTGTTGTCCACCCTGCCCTCTGGAAATGTAATTCTGTGACGGCTTGTGCTACAACAACACCTTTAACGCATCCAGAGATTGAAAATCCATGCTTGGGCACTCAAATGTTTACATGCCGCCACCGACGCCGCTGCTGTTTATATGCCTCGCCTGTCTTCATTAATTGAGCCTGTTGTGGAGAGCCTGGGCTTCTGCAGGCATGAACATACTTGCAGTCCATGAGAGCAGGCTGGTTAATTGTGCAGTCAATAACTCACACAGCCGGTGTCGAATTGGAACTGAAATCTAGGGTAAGGAAAAGTGTCTGTTCTCAGCCTGAGCCTCGGCTTTCATGAAGCCTGTGTGTTCTGCTCAGAAAAGTCCTTTGGCAAAGCCATTGTCACACTTTCCGACGTGAAGACCATGCTAATGGCACTGGCCCATTATTTATGGGTAATGGAAAACTAATTGAAGCTTTCACTCCATCCTTCGCTGGCTCGCCATTTTTTTTTTCTCTGTTGTGCCTTTAATTATGCTTTAGAGATGTGGTTCTATGTAAAGAGGGGAAAATGTTGGGGGGGGTTTCGCAACTAAACTTCCCTGTCTTACTGCTCCAATACTGATTTCTGAATGCCATCATGTCGTCTCAAAGCGAAATATAATATTGGAGAATTGCATTTTGTGCATCTAAACAACTACACTGCAAAAAAATATATATTTTTTACAAATTTAATTTTCCATTAAAAAAAAAAAATCTAAAAATCCTTTACTTGAGGTGCTAAATAACTTAGATATAAAATGTTGCTTTCTGAAAAAATATATATATTAAGTGAGTTAGTGCTTAAAACAAGAAAAATATCTGTCGCTGAGGTAAGAAAAATACACTTAATTTAAAAGGAAAACAGCTTTTGTGTTCTTTACCCCATACAATATATTTTTTTTTTTTTAAGCATAAAGTCTCTTCATTTGGATCAATTGTTCAGTAAACAAGACTTAATATCTTAAGTCAATTTGCATCTCAAGTAAATGTATCTCTTGATTTAAGAATGTTTATATATTTGTGCTGGAAATATATAATGTTGTACTCCTTTCTTTTGAGTGGTTTTCCCAATGATTTTTCATTTTAAACCTCCTCCAGCATTTCAACAGAACAGCATAAAAGGAAGTATTTATTTATAGGAAGTGATGTTTTGCAGAGTATATTTTAATGCAGAGTGTGTGAATCAATTACAGTTTCAAGATATTCAACAGCAAAATAAACCCACACGGGGGCGACTTGGAAAAGGCTACTTCCAAAATAAATCAATAGATGTGAAAAATGTACCAGAGCTGAAATTATTTTTATTATGTGAGAAGAAAGAGACTGTGGAGTAATAAAAGACACATGATACTAGCTATTTAGGAAATCAGTTGCTTTTTTGGATTTTTGTGGTCTTTATACCAAAATATGCAGAATGCAGAGTAACCAAGTATTTCCCAAAGGACATTTTTATTACAATGAAAAACTGTTACTCCATACTGACCTTTACTACCAAATACCTTCCCTTCCACTTAACAAACAAAAACAAATTTTAGGGTGACCCTTCCCATGTCCCAAGCCCACATCAGGCGAGCAATCCACAAACATGACAGATATTTAACCCTGCTCGGCCGGTCAATCTTTCTCCCCCCTGAGGCAGCTGGTGTGAATTTATCCCAGGCTTTGCAGACAGAACCAATCAGGTTTGGCCAGCAAAGTCCTCCCCCTCAGGCCAGATCCAGGAGGAAGTGATCTGGGGGAGGCTGTCCCACATCACCTCCCAGGTCCATGTCACAGTAATAAGGCTGCCACTCTGTGATGGACACCTCTGAAGCCTGGCTCTGGGTCCATGCTTGAACTGCTGGCACCCTCATGAATCCAAATGAAAAAAGGCCAAACATCCAACTGTTTTTTTTTTTTTTTGCGCAGAAGCCCTGTCTTGGACGTCACACATGTATGCACCCATGCTGATTTATAAGGCCCATGTACTCACATCCAATAAAAGAATGACCTGCACTATAAAGAGCCGGTCATTGTTGTTGCTCTCCTTCTCCTACAACCAATAAAACTTTGATAGCTTTTTTTTGTCTTTTTTTTTTTTTACAATATTGATACGTTTGCATGTTGGTTCACTTTGGCAGTAGAAACAATTTTTTTTCTTGAGCTCGAAGAGGGCGTTGCAAATTTTTTAAAGGTGAAACCTGCCAACTTCCAGAAATAATATTCCAGATCTGGAAGAGAGAAACCTATGTTTGGATTGTGCTCCACCTACACACTGGCTTAGCCTGGTCTGCCTCCTTTTATTCCTTTTTTCCATTTGCATCAGAGCCCATTTTGGCTCTCACATGTGATGTCAAGAAATAGTTTGACTTATCTTGCATATCCCCAGGGCTCTGACTTCTTGACAGTAAAGACAATAAAAACGCTGCAAAAGGATACATTTATCGGGCAAGGATTTTTATTTTATTTTTTAAAGGGTAAGCCCCTCCAAATTTTGTCCCTGAGGGTTGCGCTTGAATAAGGAGGGGAGAGTGATGGGGAGATGGAGAGAAAGCCAAGCTCAGTTCAAAGCTCAGTGTGTTTCTCAAGAGAGCTGTCTTCATGCTCTTGGGCTACTGTCTTTTGGTTTAGACCCCCTGCATCTCCCCTCTAATAGCCTACTACTATGTAATTTTAGACAAAACCATTATACTCTGGGTATAGACAGCTCCTTTCCACAGTTGACAAATTGACCCCATTTACTTTATTACACCTTTCATTATTGAATGATTAATACCAATATGTATTGTATGTTATACCAAAGAATGAAAACAATGGTATTCTTAATCTTTCATCACATTGTAATAACTTGCTCGACTTCCACTTCTTGCAGATATCAGCTAGGGATGTGCAGCCTATTAGTTCATGTTAACTGATAGCCGTATTGTCTGTTGTTGTTAATGCCGCCTTTCTAAAATATAATGTCGATATTTATGCCTTCGTATCATCCAGGTGGATGCTGCACATTGGTGGTGGTTGAAGAGATTCCCCCTTCTATGTAAAAGCGCTTTGAGTGCCGAGAAAAGCGCTATATAAATGTAATGAAGAATTATTATTATTATTTAATGTCAGCATTACATTTCATGTAATTTTTTTTTAAATTTGCCTGGTAAAATAACAGATTTCTCTCTGGTGACTTATGCTGGACCGATTATTTAGTCCTCTTAAACTAAATGACTATGGCCTGGTTTCACAGACAGGGCTTAGATTAAGCCAGGATTAGACCTTAGATCAATTAGGACATTTAAGTATCTTTTATAAACGTGCCTTAGAAAAAACATTACTGGTGTGCATCCTGAGACAAACCAATGGCATTGACATATTTTAAGAAATGTCAGTGCAAGTTGCTTTCAGTTAAAACGGCTCAAACGTGCATTTTAGTCTGAGACTATAGGCTTTACCCTTGTCTGTAAAACTAGCGGTACAAATTCACATTTAGATCTGCCTAAATCCAATCAACAACCAATGGATAGAACCAAGTCCCCGCCCCACATTTTTTCCCCTTTTTTAATTATTGCTCTCAGATGTACGTCACAATGTGGAAGAAAAGATCTTTCGCTACTTGCATTTAATGCCTGATAACATTCAATATAAAAATAATGGTGGCTGTGTTTCAGGAGGGGGGTATTGTGGGTTGCAAATTTCATTTTTATGTTAATATTATCCTGACATCAGGATGTGCAGTCCCTAGATTTTGGTTTTGGGCTCATGACTGTGTCCTGTCTTACAGATACAGCGTGGTGGTGGAGGGCGAGAGGGGGAACAGGCCACATATCTACTGCCTGGAGCAACTGCTACAGGAGGCGGTCAGTACGCCACACTGCCCTACACCGTTCGTTGACCCATATACACGTTACGGCTCACCACAACAGGCCTGTGTGTTTTATTTCGGGCACACTCCTCAGTTTCCTCTCTCTGCTAACAGGCCTGGGGCACGCTGTAATATAGAAGCTGTTTAGCACCTTCCCCTGCTATTAAGCTAAGGGCATGTTTTGCTCCAGTACCTCTGTCTGTTGGTTTAGGCACATGCTACCGCCTTTCCTTCCTAATGTACCGTTGGAAGCGGACCTCTGCCAAGAGCAACCTTAGCCATTACTGCCTCTAAGATGGATTATATACACAATATATATGTTTCCTCGCCAGAAAAGGATTCATTAGTTATTCATTCTAAAAGATAGATGACCGCGAATGCACACAGGTGTTGATTTAATAATCCTCTCTGATCCACACTTCCTTTGTTTTACAGATTATTGATGTGAAACCCCCCTCTGTCAGATACCTTCCCCAGGGGACCCGGATCGCAGCCTACTGGAGCCAGCAGTACCGTTGCCTCTACCCTGGCACGGTCGTCAGAGGTATAGCTTTCCTTTTCCGCTTAATTGAGCTCCTTTCACTGGCTATTACAGACTATTAACTAATGCGTTTTACTGCATCTATGTCTCTTGAATGGAAAAATATGCACAAATGTCCAATGTCCTCCGCACAGAGGTGCAGTAAGAGAACCTTTCAGGGTTGTTTCATTTCCTTTAATCTAAATCTTTTAGCCAAACCCATAAGCATTGCCAGATAAACCGAGCAGGGGAATGAAGGATGGTGTGGTTAGCTACATGCAGAGCTCTGCTCTATTATTATTTATTTTCCCTCCTGCTGAGGAAGGAGCGAGCTGGAGGCTTGTCAAGAAACTCTTAAAGGGAGGTCGCTGCTACTGCTTCTGTCAACCAATGAGAATGAAAAGGCCCTGTATGAATCCCCGCAGCCGAGGCTGCACCACTGAGAAATATGCGGTCACTCTTTTCGCGCAGCAGTATTTGCTGTTTCACTCAGTGGAAATAAAAATTGAGGTGATGCATGTTCTTTTGCATCAGTCGTCAACTCTGTTACGTGTCCACAGGGAGTCCAGACATGGAAGACGTGGACGATTTGATTACAGTGGAGTTTGACGATGGAGACACCGGCCGAATCCCTCTCTCTCATATTAGACTGCTGCCGGCGGACTACAAGATTCAGTGTGAGTATTCAGATAAGCAGGGAGTAAAAGCCAAGGCATGAAAGAGCACATGAAACGTTACCTGAATTTCCAAGTTATGTAAACAGCCCATATGTGCTCTGTTTGATTTGGAGTCCATGCAGCCTCTGATTTTTGTTTGGTTTTGCTCTTGAAGCTTGATGATGGATTCAGTAAAATGTTTTTCCACTAGTTGCCAGGGGGTTGCATATGATTGAGGATGAGACTGAGATTTTTGAAGGTTTGTGTATAGCATTTAAGAGTACTGGGTAAATATTAATGTGTGTATGTGTGTTTGACTGTGAAAATGTTTATGTATGATCATTATCAAAATATATGAGGCCGAAAAGCACATGGGAATGTTCCAAAAAAAAAAAAAATTTTGCTATTATTTTATCAATTGTCAAACAGAAATGTTCCAAAGTCTGTTATTAATATTTTCAACACGGTATTTATCTGAACAGGTGCGGAACCGTCCCCTGCCCTCCTCGTGGCCAGCACCAAACGGCGAGGAAGGAAGTGCAGTAAGGATGTACCTGATGGAAAAGAAATGCCACCCAAAAACACAGAGGAGTCTGCTCCAAAAAGTAGAGGCAGAGGAAGAAAACCCAAACCTAAGCCTGGTAATTTCCACTTCTTTTGAACCAAACATTTACCATCATTTACATTTTGGCTGGCATAGAAGAGACATATTTTTGTAAAAGTGGTTATTGCTTTGGTTCAGATTAAACATCAAGCAGTCATAAGTGGTGTTACTGAAATGAGAAATGCAGTAATCTTACAAAAGTGTACTGGATTGGTGGTTTCATAGATAATAAATCACATTATTTTTCTTGGAAAGAACTTACTGTCAGAACAGGAACAGCTTTTAGCCTCCCAGCATTTTTATAGAGGTAAGTGTGTTTTTGGTCTGGCATATTAAAACCTTCCCTCCTGTGCTGCTTTCCAGAGCCCGAAGTCGCTCCAAAGGAGCATGAAAAGCCTGACACACCAGCCCTGACGCAGGTCCCTGAGAGGCCCCTGTCCAGCCAGAAAAGCGGCCCACGGCCAGGTAGAAAAATGAAGCAAGTCGGCACAGCCAGCCCCTCCATTCCCGTATCTAATGAAAGCCAGAAGAAAACCGCAGGAATCAAGCCCCCAGCCAAAGTGCGTTCCCAGCCCTACTCGCAGCCACTCTATGGAAAAGTTCTGTCTGTGGATCTCTATAATGAGCCCTCCACTTCTCTGGTCTCCTTTATATCCAACAATGAGACTCTGAGTCCCGCAGGGAAAGGAAAGCCGGTCAAACGCTTGCGAAAGCCTGAAGAGGAGGCATCTGGGTTTGGTGTGAAAATGCAGCGCAAGCAACCTCAGACTGAGGTCCTTATCAAGCTGGACCATGAGGGAGTCATGTCACCCAAAACCAAAAAGACCAAAGCCCTGATGATGATGGAGGGCCAGAACCTCTCCAAAAGAGAGAATAAGTCTGTGTTGGGTGTCAGCTACACTACGATATCCACTGCTGACAAAGCACTGAAGGCTAAAAACAAGGCGGTTGAGGCAGAGCCGACTACTGCTGAGAGCGTGTCCACCTACAGCGTTCGTAAGCTGGGGAGCGGCAGCGAAGGTCTGATGAAGGTAAGCAACTCAGGGGAGAAGGACAAGAAGGAACTGGAGTGTCCCAACTGCAGTAGCAGTAGCAGCAGCAGTTCGGAGTCAGACGGAGAGGAGGAGCGAGGGACCTCACAGGACAAGAAGCCCAAACAAGACTCAACCAGCTCCAATAGCTCGCGGGCATCAAGTCCCACCTCTTCCAGCTCATCCACAAGCAGTTCCTCATCCTCGGCTGGATCCCACTCCTCCTCCTCATCGTCATCCTCCTCCACCACCAGCGATGAAGAATCCTCCTGTAGCTCAGATGAAGAACCGGCCGCTGGTTCTCAACCATCCCCTGCCACAGAACATGCACCACCTCAAGAGGAGGAAGACGAGAAGGCCAAGGTGAAAACAGGGCCTTCTGCCAGCGTCCAGAAGCTCCAGAAGCAGCAGGCATCTGCTACTCAGCAGCAGAAGCCCCAGAAAGAGCAGAAGGTCAAGCAGGGTGTCGGTCGCCCCAAAAGACGAGAGGGAGTCCACCTCCCAACAACTAAGGAGCTGGCAAAAAGACAGAGGCTACCCTCCGTCGAGAACAGACCCAAGATCTCCGCTTTTCTTCCTGCCAGACAGCTGTGGAAGTGGTTTGGAAAGCCTACTCAGGTGAGCCCATGGATTTTAGGTTTGAGTCTTTTTGAATATCCCACCAGTGTCATTTCTACCACATCTCAAATCATGTGTTGTGTTTAATAGCATTGTGTAAAGTCTAAAGTATACTTTAATTTTAACACAAATGTTAGCGTATGTGTACAGCCAAAAACATGCACTTTTAAAGTATACTTAGTTTGTTAGCGTGCACGTACACAGTACAGACACTGGACAAGGATGAAACTTTCTAGAGTCGAGTGCCCATTTCTCTTCAGAAATTATGACCAAGTTTGTTGTTGTTCTGTCTCCGCTGTTTCTTTTAAATTGGGAAACGACGAGTCAGGCCACCTAACCAATTAGTGAATTACCATAAAACTTCAAATAATAGCCCGGGCTTTTATTTTCCCAAATCGTCGAACTGCACCGGCTTGTATTTGAGACAGGCGTTTATATGAGACAGGCCTTTGTAATTTAGTGTTGAGATTTTGTTCATTGAGTCTAAGTAAGCCTAGAGTCTCTAATCTCTAAAAATCTCCAAATGTTCCACGCGAAACTGCGGTCTTCCGACCTTTTACTATCGTGTCAATTGATTTTGATTAATATGCGCGAGGGAGATAGAGCAAGACAGCGCTCGTGTTGTTTGACGACGTGAGAGTGCGCGCGCGCGGCCGGGGCGCTCTCTCTCTCTGCTCGTAATGCGTCATTCTGTTCTACATCACTCAGCGATCAAAATAGGCTTTGGTGGAACTAAAAACAACCCAAAACTAAAAAAACAGACCCGGCCTCTATTTGAGACCGGCCTTTATTTACCCAAACCTGTTGCCACACCAGGCGTGTAAAAGAGACAGCCGTTTTTTTGGGACTCGGCTATTATTTGTTAGTTTTACGGTAATAAAAACATTTCAAGGGACATATGAGAGCTGAACATACAGAGTATCTGTGGTTAGAAAAATGTAGATGTGCGTGTACTATGCTGGTGAAATTTATGGCATGCACACTGTACGCATATCCTAGCATATGCATAAAAAACAAATATAATTAGGGCTTAATGGAAATGACAATGATGGAAATTACATTTTGTATTTTTGGCATAAAATAGTCAACTCGTTTGTCTTGCCAAGGCTAATTTTAAAGCTAGCATTTTATGTATACTAAATACACATAATTAAATATTTCCACACTTTTTGCGTATTTTGACAATTTCAGCTTGGAAATGGAAATGATACATATTGAAAATATTATGTTCTAAATGTTATGTTCACCTTGATTTCTTATTTTCACATATCACATAGGTCATATTTTATCTCAAACATACTCCTCATTGAAGCCTTTCTCTCATTGGTAAACATGTAGGCTAATTTTTGGCAAATATTTTAGTTGTGTGTATGTTTGGTGTTGTGGAAAAAAAGAAATTAATTTTCTCCCAAAATATTAAAATGGTTACTGGTAATTTCACTATTTGTTTAGATTTGTCAAATTTTAATAATTAGATTTAGAAAATTGCCAATATAAATGATGGCCTGGTAAAAAGTTTCTTAGACGATTTTAATGTGACCTTCATATCATAAAAGGAAAATGTTGAAATCTGTTAGTTTTAATAAAAATCAACCCCTGAGGCATAAAAGTGCCCAAAGAAACATCTTTTTGCTTTTCCTTCAACTTCTGACAGAGGCGGGGAATGAAAGGGAAGGCAAAGAAGCTTTTTTACAAAGCCATAATGCGTGGGAAGGAAATGATCCGTATTGGAGACTGTGCTGTGTTCCTGTCTGCTGGACGACCCAACCTCCCATTTATTGGACACATCCAGAGCATGTGGGAGTCCTGGGGAAACAACATGGTGGTCCGTGTCAAATGGTTCTATCATCCAGAGGAAACCAACCCTGGGAAGAAACTTCATGACAAAAAGGTTACTTTTTGTCTCCCTTTCCTAAACATTGATAATGGTTTGCGGGCATAGTAATATGACCTATGTACTGTACTTGGACTTGTCCCAGTCTTGCCTTTTTATCTGGGTTTTTAACGAATCCATTTTTTTTTTTTGGCAGAACTGGGATCAAATGTCCGGCCAAAGTCTTCCTGCTGTCCTGCATGCTTCCAACCAGAGGAAAGACTTCATGGAGGTAAGAAAACCAATCAAGGAAATGGTTTGATCATCTTCGTCTGGTTGAAAACAGTCTGATAGATCGCTCTGCTTTCTCTTTTCAGCGGGCACTGTACCAGTCCTCTCACATTGATGAGAATGACGTCCAAACCATTTCTCATAAATGTCTGGTGGTCAGCCTTGAGCAATATGAGCAGATGATTAAAACTAAGAAGTACCAGGACAGCGAAGACCTCTACTACCTGGCCGGGACTTATGAACCCACCACTGGAATGATATTCAACACGGATGGGGTCCCAGTAATCTGCTGAGAATCGACAAGTGAGACGTGTGGAACAAAACCAATGAGACATAAGGGCTAGACAGATGTGTTGGCTTTACCCAAAGCCTGACTAATCAATCAAGTATGGAAAACGTCCTGACAAAGACACAAGCATCAGTTGAGATCAGAGATGTCTTGTTTGCACATCATTTCATACACATCAAGTCAATGGTGTTGGTATTGTGAAATTGCGCTAGTAGAGATTCAATTGTTTGGCCTCTTATTGGAGCAACCCTAAACTTGTTTTGACCCAGTGAAGTGATTGCAGTGGACAAATGATGTTCAGCAATCTCCAGTTGAATTAAACGTGTCAAAGAAAGTGAAGGCACGTCAAAAATGTCTTGAAGGTCAACTGCATCTGATCTGCTGAGCCCAGCCATCACCGATGTGGCTGGAATGGAGGTGACACCACTTGTGCAGGACTTGTTCTCCGGGTGAGAAGGCCTGCTAGGAACCCGCTTCCTTGGCCGTGGGACCAACAACAGAAAGAGTAATTGAAGCTGACAGGATGTATCACACTTCTGTCCAGTTACTACTGGTAGAACCCTGCCGGATCTTCAAGGGCTGGCTAATGAACTTGAACAGGGAAAAACTAAACCAGACGTAAAGCTGCGGCCCATGTGAGAAGCACTTAAAGGAATGGACAGAACTGTGGTCTGTGAGCCTGCAAGGACTGTTTATTAATAGGAAAGTGTGAGTTACTTTTCCACTGAGCGGCCCAGAAGATCTATCAGAATATTTATATGCGATCCTCATCCCTCAGCTGCGGCGACAGAAAGGTTTCTTTTTACGAGTGAAGGGCTCTACTGGGATGGAAGCAGATGCAGATGATACCCGTTTGTAAATACATGCATACGAGCTATATATGATATGGACAAAAATATTTTATTTTCGTGTACCATAGATTTATGTGACAGTAATTTTTTTAAAGCAGCAAAAGATGAAAAAAAAAAAGCTTTAATAAACTGTGAATAAAGTTTAAAACGTTAACAAATATCAGGAACTAGTTTTAAGAGTACAGATCTTGTAAGTCTTTACTGGAATCTTAGACGCCCACTACATTGACAACGTAATGTAATCTTGATATCAAAACTACTATTACAGGACAAATGGTTTGTAGGATTTGACAGTGTTCAAAGCCAGTTGTCCCATAATGCAGTTTTACAACAAAAAGCACTTAAATTCTGCCCTTGGTCTTACACAGGACAGACTTCCCTTGACAATCCCCTGTTCAGGTGGACGTGAAGCGTTTTGTGGGAAAACCATTTTAGTTCTCTCATTGCTTCTCAGGGTTAGTGAGAGGTGGAGAGTTTAAAAGCTACGCTTGCTCATCATGTCTGTTATACTCGACCGTCCCTTTTTTCTAGAATTACCCCCCACGGAAAGCAATTACATCTCATGCATGAAAGCACTTTCTTCGAATAAACAAATAGCAGCGGTGCAGGTGATGTTATCTGTTAGCGCTGAAAGTTGAAAGCTGAGTTGTTTTTTGCCTTTCTCACGTCTGCGTTTTTCTCCATGTCGACTTTTTACTCTCCGTTATTCCAAGCCGTTCTTTGGTTCGTTCTTAATAGCCTTAACCTTGGTCCCTAAAAGCTGCCGTATACCGGCAGAATCAAAGTCTGAATGTTGTCTTTGAAAATGGGTCCTATTGATTGATATTGTGCTCCGGAGAAAGTGCCATCAGTCATCAGAGGCTGTTAGGACCAGGCTATGTATTCGCTGCTTCTCTAATCAAGACCAGTGAAATGTATTTGATTTATGGCGTCCTCACATTGGATGAAGAGACTAGCGAACACCTTATTTGCTTAATTGTAATTGTGGTTCTTATTTGTGCCTCGTTTTTATGGTTCAAAGGGGGTATGAATGTTTTCTCTTTTCTTTTTAAGGTTAGACACGTGTTAGTTAAAGTACACGTTGTTTTATTCTGTAAGGAAATCGTTTTCCTTTTAAAAAAATGTCTTTGTATATCTTTTTTAAGTAATGAAAGAAAAACGATTAGATGATCTGTACTGACTCTTTTTTTTTTTTTTTTTTTTTTTTTTTTTACAATTATGGTTACCAAGATATATATAAAAAACATGAGGTTAGTGGCTACATTTTGATTTTTTTTTCTTTTCTTTTTTCTGTAGTTGCCCAGCCAAATTTTTTAAACTGTTATTCTTTCTACCTCCCACGTTGGTTCAACGTTTCATGTTTTTGTTTGATATTTTCTCTTGGTGGTATTATTATACTTAGTGCACATGGGCTTTTAAACCATTGCCTGTTTTTAATTATTTTGCCATGATGAATACCCTCTGTGAATGATGTTGATTTGATACTTATTGATTCTTTCTGTCGTTTTGTTTTGTTTTGTTTTTTCCCCCGTTCTTTGAGGGAGGATAGTGAGATCAAGAAGGGTGTGGACACTAGAGCCTTCCAGTCTGTGTGATTGGAAAATATTTGGCCTACTCAGTATTTCGGAAATTTCTTTATATTATAGAAATGTTGACACTATTACGTATAGTAGAGCGGTCTGAAATGTCTGAAATATATATTTTTTTTCATGTACGTTTCATATTACATTGCCCAGTCTCTCTTAAAGAGATATTATCTTGTTGATATTCAATAGGTTGTATTTCTTAACATGTTTTATCATTGTGTGTGTAGTTTTGAGGCTTAAAACGATATTCAGCCTATTCCGGTTTAGACTGTTTTTCTAAGTCACCTAATTTGGTTGAGGATTTTACACATACCCAAAGCTAATTCAAATGCCAAATGATCTTCAAATGCACAGTGAATCTGAAGCAACATTAAGCAAGCTCTTTTTGATTTGACGCAGTCTTTTGTGTCAAAGATTTTTGCCTGTTTAGCGAGTTGTACAATTTAAGTGCCCCTCAAAACAAAAGTTTACTCTGAGCTTGAGTCAAGCTGTAAAGCACTTTTTAGAGTATTTTTGTCTGCATGTTTTAGAAACCGCATATATGCTTCTAGGAATAATATTAGAGCAATCTACAAAAGTATATTTTGCTTATTGTGACGTAATGTAACGTGAATGGAGGTCTGAGTCCATTCCTTCCCCTCGGGTCACTGTATGAGACAGTGGCCTCTGTTGGTAGCAGTCATGTGGGATGAATCGCTCATGTCCTCTGCTACTCGTCCAGGGTCTGTTTGAGTGTATCTTATGACGTATAAGGTTTAACTGGCTTGTTATAAAACCGCGTATAGCCGAGTAGAAGCGTAATAGAGTTCACCGTTTGCATGATTCTGTTCAACATTTTCCTTTTTTCTTTCTTTATGACATTCCCCCTCTCTGAACAATCGTCCTCCATGCTTAATGTGCAATACTGCTGAATTTGGATTCTGTGAGGTAGCTGCTAGTGAGGGAAGGAACGTGTTCATGAATGTGGGAGATGAGAGAGAAAGTTAGTGTGGACTGGAGGCTGGTCCTTCACTGGTCTTCATCTGCTGTTCCTTCAGCATTGGTATGGTCCTGTTACAAAATAAAATAATAATAAAAATTTAAAAAGCTATAGTTTTGAAATTATTATTTGAAATTTTAAAGCATCAAGGTTTTGTAAATGATCCTTTATGAGAGGGGGAGATAAATACGGATATACTTTGTACACATTTAATCTTGTAAAAAAACAAAATTACTAAATTTTTTTTTTTAAACTGAAACCGATGTTAAAGATTGCTGTTGACTTGTGTGTGTAAACCTAATGGGATTGGATTTTTTTTTTTACAGATGCAACCAGCATTATCAGTGTTTTTCAATTCTTTTAGTATCTCAGTATTTTCTAGTTCATCAATAAATGTCATGAAATGGAATTGAGTTTGTCTCTTTATTCATGTATTTTTTCTTTGTGTGTCGAACCATGTGGCTCTGAATTGCAACTATAATCCAGCTATTTGAATCTGTATTACTTCAGATGAACAAATCACCGGATCCCGAACCTTTTAGGAGAACTGTTATTACGACCTAATGAGCTTTTTACAGCGCCTGTCATTTGCTGTATAAGTGCTTCTTTAAGATGCCTGTGAGAGCCGAGCAATATGACTTAGCATATGACCACCATCATACTGAAGTTTTAGTCATGTGACCACCACAGGAATGCTGTAAATGGGATTCATCTCACAACATGGCTGAATTGCATATTGATGTCCACATTGAGGAAAATTAATGTTGTCCTCAGTAAAAAAATATTGTGGCGCTCTATTGAAAGTCTTATTTGTGTTAGGGTAGTCCTTGAGCCATTTAACTGCCAATGGAATGTCATCCCCCCACCCCCTTTAAAAATCCCATTTCTGAAAGAGCGTTTTTCAGCATGCGTGATTCATTGCTCACTCGGTGCTGTTCACAGTGGTGCAATAGATTCAAAAGGTCACCGGGGTGTTTTGTTAGGCAAGAGGCGGTTTCTGAGTCTCCCTCGTGGGCAATCACATTCATCAGGATACCATTTTTGAGCTTCCTGGAACAATTTACAATTTATAGCAGCTGTTAGCATTGAACTGAAGCTGAGCTCAATTTGCTAATGCTAGTGCAACATCTTTAGTGAATTCTCCACTCGCTGACAGAACGACTCTTGCTTTACGGGGGGGAGGGGGGGATTGTATCCTGAGCAATTAAAGGGAATCGTTTTTGCTTTGTTGACCATTCACAAATTAGCTCTTTAACTGGAAATGAGCCGCCAAAAGGCAAAACATGTTTGCGACTATGCATATACGCTAATCCGTGGTCTGAAATGGAGCTAAAGTGAAATACAGGGAACTCCTATTATAAGTGGGCTGGTAGACCGTGACCTCACTGTTTGAAACCATCTGAGTTGCTGTTCCACCATCTTAGTCTAAATAAGGAAGGGATTGCATTTTAAGTGCTCGTGAAATAGGAAAGAATGGTTGCATTGTGTTGTCACAAATCATGCTGAATTTAAACCCCTTGGCTTATTTCTTATCCATCAAAGGCACAACTTCTCAATTTCCATTAACACTGCAGATGAGATTTGAAAAAGCATGTCTTTGATTTTGCTTGTAGTGGCATAAAATTAGCATAATGCAATCTAATGGAAGTGCTCCTTAAATTTTACTACTGACAAAATGCATCTTGCTTATTGAGGCACACATCATGAATTCTCACACTTTTTTAATGTTC